TCTTCCTTAACCCATATTAAAAACATAAAATAATAAAGAAATAAAACTCATCACAAATATTAAATTAACAACAAAAGGTCTAAATAATCAAGAGATATAAAAAAATAGAAAAAGCTTTTGAACAAGTATAACTTTTAATTTCAGCTAATTAACACAACCGATGTTAATAATTAACCGGAGAATAATTGATTCTTGTTTTTTTTATATTTGAGAGAAGGGTGAGGCACAATACAAAAATTTAAAACTACAAGTTTTTTCTTCATGTATTTATAGAAAATTTCTTCTATATTTAAAAAAAAAAATTGTTAGCCAACGGCTATAAAAATAGTTGTTGGCCAATAGCTATTATTTTGGTCATTTCTAAGGTTAAATGTAGAAATGGCTGTTAAGAAAACAAATAGCTATTTTGGCTATTTGTTTAGTTCTTCCGTTGGAATGCAAATAATAAAGAAATAAATGGTAAAGGATGTTTGACTTTTCATTTAGTTGCTCCGTTGGAGCTGCTCTTATGGGGGATTTCTGGTTTGCCCTTGAATTCTTCCACTCTCTGTGTTTCTGTATTCCCGCGCTTTTTCTCCTCCGAAAATGGAAGACAGAGCCCTAAACAGAAGGCTAATAGATAAAGACAGACAAGGCTGGCTTGGCTTAGAACTTTAGATTCTAGAGGGATGTACGTGCGACTTGTCATCTGCCCAAGAGGACACCAAGTCAATGGATTTCTCTCTGATGGGGATCATAAGCCATTATTAATTTATTAGATTATAGTTATGAACATTATAAGTTCTTTCTTCTGTTCCAAACGGTTTTGGGATAAAAAATTTAAAAAATATATATTTAAAATTAATTTTTTATATTTATAAATTATTTTAATGTGCTATATCAAAAATTATTTTAAAAAAATTAAAAAATTATTTTAATATATTTTTAAATAAAAAATACTTTAAAACATATTTACTGGCACACTTCTAAGTATCCCTAAATATAATTTTAAAACCTGAAACATTATGAATTGGGATTAAAAAAAAGCCAATACATCCATCATGGATGTGTTGAGAGGGTAAATATAAATCATCGCAATTATTAAATGAGCCAATACGAACCAAATAAGCAATTTTAGTATGGATAAATCAGTTCGTTTAATTGATTAATTAATTTATTTTCAAATACAAGGATAGCTTAAGTGATTAAGATCATCGCAACCCTTAAAAAAGCTTGATATGTACACCAGATGTTGAAGTGATAATCATGAACATGCCACTCCATTTCTAAAAAGAGTCTTTGCTGATTTGAATTAGTAAATGAACTAAATCAAATTAAATAATTTTGTGTTCATTAACGAATGACACTTTAATTATTGCCTAGAAGAAAAACAATGGCAGTGGCAGATACTAATCAGTTCAATTACGTGAATTGATGCTTCATGTCAGAATCTAGAGGAGTAAATAGAGGAAAAAGAAATGAAACATAAGCTGTGGAGCATGTATACTGGGCTCCTGTAGATAAAATTAAAAAATATTGGGATTTGACAACTTTGTCACACGCATATTTATTTGGATTCAGCACTATTTAGCTCACTAGATTAGTATATATTTAACTTAATACATAGCTGAATTTAAAAATTTTATATCAATTAATTTGTCAAATTATTTATATTTGAACTTATTGCATAGTTAAACTCAATAATATAGGTTTAACAATACGCAAGATTAATATATATTTTGACGGAACATGTAGCTGTAGTCTAAAATATTGAATTTAATAAATTACTAGATTAATATAATCGTATTCAATTTATAATTAAATTTAAAAATATTAATCTAAAAATAAGTAAGATTTATTTTATTTGGGCTTGATATTCTGTTGAGTTTTGATCTTTTAAAACATACATCTAAAACATACATCTAGGCTAAAACTGAAATTCTAAAAATACAGTGATCCATCGGACCTCATGATGAATTGGTTTGAAGCTTCTTTGAATCATTCAGATACTACTCTAGGGATTTCCTTTGACTCCTCTCCTAACTTTGATTGGTTTATTTTTAACCACATTTGCATCTTCCCTTTCTTTGGCTGTCTTGGCCACCATCAAAATAGGTGTCTCAGTCCAAGAAAATGCATTGTTTTTCATAGATAACTTTAAGTTAATTTCAGACGACTTCGCTTTTGTAACATGATGAGCTGAGCCTGTTACTTCATACCAAAACACCTCTAGCGGCTCTTAAGGCCATCCGTAGCTAAATTCACCCTAATTCAGCATCTGCAGATTCACAGTACCGTGTCCCTATGGACCCTTCCTGGCTCAACTCTTGTAGTGAAGTGAGAACGGTATAGAAGAGGAGTGCCACTGATAAATTCAGGACTTCCAAGTTCTCAGATTAATTTATTTTGAGATACGTTAGGCAGGTTAATTAGAGAGGAGGGAGAGTTATCCATTATAATATAAACCAAAGACCAGTGGACTTTGCTCTTAAATTCTGGAAAACCATGGACTATAGAATCTTGCAGATTCAATCGCGGGATTTTATTATGATGTTACAGATTTTTTTTCTTGGATTCATAAGAATAATTCACCAAAAAAACAATCTTTCCAAATACATGTGGCCATAACTCTAGGATGGTACAAGAGTGATTAATTTGAACAGAACCTCAATGTGGTATTTTTTCAACTACAGCCTCATGAATTCGTAAACCTCCCTTCCATCCTCCAGACCACACTTCATAGAATCCGAAGTAGAGTGTGGTATCTTGAGCATTTTCCGGAACTTCAAACTGAAGCATGCCTAAAGGAACTTCCATTTCGTGATCTTCCTGCAAATCTGCCAGATTGATTCTTGCCCATTTGGCAATTCCTTTCTTCCCTACCTTAGCCATCATGAAAGCAGGAGCTTCTTGCCAACCAAATCTGTCTTTTGTCATAGATATTTTGAACCTCAGTGCATACCTCTTCCCTTTCGATAGGTGTTCTGGGGTTGAGCCCTCTATTTCAAGCCAGCATACCTTTAGCAACTCTGCAGGGTCATCCGTCCTGTAATTTATGTGTAGGACGTGTGCATCAAGCGTGCTCTAAGTCAGAAAATTCCTGTCCTGTGATACTTCTTTCTATATCATTGATTATTAAGCAGTTCCTAATTATTGTAATTTTATTTCTTTCTCAAAAAACACAGCACTGAAATTGATTAAAGGGAAAATTATCAGTACCCTTTCTCAGGCATCGTCCAATAACCTTTGTCACTACTCCAAGTGATGTGCAATCCCCTTGGCTTAAACCTCCACCTGCCCGTATCCTGTAAACATAAAAACCATTCTAGCCCATCAATAACACCATCATTTTCAGTTTTCGGTGATAGTCTTGCATGCATTTTCATTTTAGCAATAATCAAGGACAATCAAAGTGGAATGAAATGACCTAAATCCCAAGTTTGTTTATAGAAATGTTTAATTCAGGGGAGACTGCAGCAAACAAAAACTTCTAACAAAAACTACTTAAGAAGTAGAGTTACTAAAGAAGCTAATAGCATATTCAACCTCTTCATATTTCACTTCTCCAGGATCAGCTGCCTCTGACATCTTGAGAGCAAATAAATAAGTCTATGCACTAATATCGGTTCTGAGAGAATGCCATGAATCCTTATGAAGCCTTTATATCCAGGGAAATGGAAAGTATCTTCATCAATTCGTCAATGTTTTCCTGTCAACACAAGGACATTGAAACAATCTCAACCACAAAAGGGAAAAGACAAATTCGATTTAACTTTGAAACGAAGGAATCGTGTAAAATGTGGTCGACTTTATCACGAAGAATAGTATTAGAATATTTTTGGTATCTCTAGTCATAAAACCCGACCAAGTACTTAACCCAGTAAAATGACTGGGTCATGGGTCTGGTGGGTTGACCTGGATAAACCCAAGTCAACCCAGGTCAACCCGAGTCAAGCACCTATATGAAGCATTCTTTTACTCCCCCGGGCAGTACGTTGATTGAATTAACATTCATATTCATTCAGGGTATAGGTCTTGAAATGTAGTTACAAATCTTGTGGTAGGAGACAGAATAATTCATTTAACATGGAACTCAAATATGAATCACCACCTCCATGAGTTCTTTCTTTTTCTAAAGCTGCTAAACTAGGACTGCCACACCTGCATTTGCCTTGTGTATGATTCTTAAACAGGTCTGGGCTAATTCACCATTCACGGAAATTCGCATGCGTCTCTCTAAAAGACGAAGAAAATAGAACATGTACTCAATCACTTATGCTTCTGGTTTTAACTAAGCATGTACAAATAGCTTGGACATAAATATCAACATAGGTGAGATAAAGCACCTGGAGAAGTAGCACCTGCTGGACACCGAATTCTCCAATTTAGCTAATAGATCTCTTGGCTGTTCAAAGAGGAAGTCGCTAATAGATCTTTTGGTTGTTCGAAGGAAGAAATGAGGTCACAAACTTTAACTTTCCTTTGATGTTAGGTGCAGTGTTAAATAAAATTATTATATACAGAAGCTGGGTCTGAACCGTGTTCGCTCGGGTTAGCTGAATCACGGGTTAACCTATCAGTCCATTAAGTTTAACTGGTTTTTAACTCTCATTAATTTTTTATTTTATTCAGATTGATTCAATTACCAAATCAATCGATTGGATTGATTCAATCATCAGATCAATTAATTTTTAAATTGATTTATCAAATTAGTCTGCGTTTAATAACTATAATAATAATCATGTACAAGTTAAAAAAAATATTTTTTAAATAGTAAAAAGGAACCTTGATCAGATTATTTTTTTGTATAATCACACTTTATAAAATTTGATTTTGTTTTATTCAAAAATTAAGTACAATTTAAACTTTATATGCACGCTTAACATCTTCTCAAAGAAAAAATAAAAAATAAAAATGCTGATTATAAATTATAATTTATTTAATGACTAAAGAGCCCCACCCCTCTTCTTCTTCCTCTTGATTTTCAGTCTCTTGATTTTCAGTAAAGGGTGTGTTTGTTTGGTAAGTTTCTTCAAGGGACTTTGTTGAAGTTAATGATTCCATTGCTTCTTTTGATGTTGGATCATC